ATTTGATTATATTTGTTAAATGCCTTTATTTTTAATAATTAGTCAAAAATGCCTAATAATTTATTGTTAATATTATTAAATGTGTCAAGTTATGTTGGTAATTTATATGAAATGAAATGAATTGTAAATTAAACTTGCAGTTKTTGGTAATTACCTACATTAGGTAGGTAGATAATGATAGCAGATCACCCCTAAATTATCCTTTGTCCTAGCATGAAAAAATTCTAGTTGCAGCTGCAGCACTAACCTACATTAGTTTATCTTTTCAGTTCAACAACTGCCAGAAGATGCCTTTTTTATATTATTGCACCATTTGCACCTCTACATGAAGGCTGAACTGTTTGCACATTGCCTAGCCGCCATGCAGCATATTTTATCGTAAAAACTAAAACAGTAATATGCAATTTTTCTTGATGTCAGCTAATATTTTTTTTATGCTTACATAATATGGAAACTTTTGCTAATTATCTTTTTCAAGTCGTTGTTGCGTATTTCAGTTACTGTAATTATCCATTCTACAGTTAATCTCATTAGTTTTATCGATAATGACTTTCAACATCCATTTAATTTTGTCGCTGAATTTAGATATATTATTGTCATACTCACTCGGGAAAACTAGTCCTCGTATACTCCAGTGGTGGTTGGTGGTTCAAGACTTACCAATATTTATGACAAACTTAAAAAGTGTATTAAACATTTATAGGTACATGTAATTTTATAATTTATACATTTTTTTCTTATTCATTTTTTTTTGAAACACAAGTTATCGACTATCTTTAGTAAATTTTTACAGCATATGATGTTAACACGACAATGTTGTTAAACACTGTCTAATTCAAGTTTATATAGTTTTTGGCTGGGACCTTAATAATATATTTAACATCCATAAATATGGCTATATATGTATATTGTAGTATTGTAAAAGTTGACAAAATATTACCTTATATTTATATAAGTCAATAACTATGAAACACTATTGAAAAATTTGAAAATTTATAATCATCAAAGTTGGGAAAGAATGAAAACAATAAATTAAGTTAAATTAAAAGTACACAAGATTGATATGTAGGTTAGAAGTTCACAGTTAATAAATCTTAAATATAACTCTCTTTAAAATTAGTATTTGGATCACAATAGTGTGACTGTGTTCTTTTTAACGCCCTAAATTATAATGAATAATTATATTAAACTTATATCATAATATAGGTACAGTATTACTTCTATTTTATTTTTCATGATTATTGAATATTTAAAAAATACTGTTTTTCTTTTGAATCAAACACAACTTAAAGACATATTATATTACTTATATCTATCTAGTCTGACTAGTCTACTAAAATATATTTTTATACAAATTTGAATACATTAATATTAATGGAAATGTGTTTGCAACCTAAATATTGTAAATCAACAAACATTAGATATAAGGACCTGAAGGACCTCGTATCTTAAAATGAATYTTGTTTYCTTATTTTCTTGGTTGACAAAACAAATACCTCATAGTTAATATTGAGTAATACTATGTCTAAACTTAACCTAATTATTGAAACCATAAATTTAGGTGTGATCCAATAATAATAAAATATTTCAGATATATTAGCACTAGATATTTTGGTAATAATAAATTCTAATTCTTACTTAAACAAACAAATATTGCTTCTTTGCATTCATCGACTATACCTAATCAAAATATTGGTCTTACGTATTTATGGAACATAATCGTAAATTTCTTCAGCAGCGCACTGAAATCTAAATATTGTGATAGAATCGAAAGTCGACAAGTGAGATGAGATGAAAGACAAGGATTTATTTATGAATTCAAAAAATTAACTTACCTTGCACTAAATGAACCTATAYTTTCATACTGTGGAAATTCTTTTTGGGCAAAACATTCGGATATTCAGAATCTTTAAGCTTACTAGGTACCTCTAGGTATTCAAGTTAAAATTTGATTTTAGTTCCTATAGGCTATAGGTTGGCTTAAAGAATTAAGAAATTTAGCGTTAAATAGAACTCTAAAATCATTCACTAAACGTATTAAATAATGTGAAAATATGTATTAATATATGCCATGTCGTGACTCA